TCCCCGGTCGAGCCGACCCATTCGTGCTACAACCATCTGTAGCACGGCTCTAACACACACGTAAACATTGTATTCAATATGGTGAAAAACAAAACGTTTTATATGCGAAAAGCACTGACAAAATAGCAAATAATTAAAAACCCTAATGAATAATTAAGTAACAACACAAACCATACGAATTATAAATCGCTATTTAATTCAGTAACTTTTTGCCCGCGGTTTAATTAGTGGTTAGACACGGGTGAGCATCGATTCGGAATTTCACGAGGTACCTAAAATTAATTGGCGGTAAACTATCCACAAATTTTATTGCTATTATTTAATTAACCGTTTTAAACACGTGTCAAATATTACATTGAGTGTTTTAGAATAAAACTACTAATGTTTTACAACTAATCTTACTTGTGAAATTTAACTTTTAACGCTGAAGGGAAATACCAAGTAGTGGTAGTGTAAGAACATCCTCTACCTTAAATAATTCCGTGGGTGTCATGATAGGCACACCGAGGGAAACAAATCAAGTGATGAGCATCAGCGTCTTCCTACGACCAAAAAAACTGCAGTTGGCAACCCGCTCGCCAAGCGAGGCCATTATGGCAAATATCCCCCTATGGTGCGGTCTATGGGGGAGGCCTATGTCCAGCTGTGGACTTTAATAGGCTGTAATGGTAACGATAACTGTGAAGGCTCTAGAAAGAAGAAGCGCACATAAGTCGCTTTTTAGTAGTACAATGTAGATTGTTCTTTCTCCCGTGATAACTTTATCTAATAAATAGAATAGAATAGAATAGAATAGAATAGAATAGAATATTGATTTATTTGCATAGAATGTAGGTAATTTACAAAAAGGGTGTTGACAGAGTACATAAAAGATCCGTACATTCTACCATTTTGGCATGCAAAAATTAAATTAAAATTTATTTCTATACTACACTAGTAAATAATTATTAATAGATTTAATATGATAATTATGATTATAAATGGTTATTACATTATTATAATTAAAAGAATTGAGTTATTATTACTATTACATTATATCGATTTATGAATTAATATTGCAGGTAGCTTATTACATTATAAATTATTAATACTAACAGATTATACAAAACAATTAATTTACTGAACGTTATTTTATATAGGAATCATCTAAAAAGTCCGATACTGAGTAATAGAACTAAGTAATACTCTTTTTAAATATTCTTATCGGTTGATTTTTTACAAAATTAGGAATTTTATTATAAATGACTGGTGCCATCCCCATAACACTTTTTTTTAATAAAGCTGTTTGAAATCTTCCTGTGTACAACAAGTCTTTATATTGCGTTCTCGTAGGTACAGTTCGTACTCGAGTTTCATTTAAGGTAGGATAGGTATTTTATAGGTACTTACTCGTACATTCTTTTTTCATAATAGGTACTTACATTCTTTTAGACATAATTAAATTTTCTTAGTAGAAGCTTTATTTTTGAATTACTTTAAGCCAGTGATTTACTACTGTGACAACTGACGTTAAGTGCTGATTTTTTGTAGAATAAGGGTGACAAGCGAGCACACAGTCCACCAGATGGTAAGTGGGTGCTGTGGATCCTCGGATCTCTACACTTACCATACCAAACACATCAGTATTAAACTGCTATTTTACGCTGGTATTCTATGAGAGCATGTTCCTTTCCCGGTCGAACCGACTCATTCATGCTACAACTATAATATACCTGCAGCGTGGCTCTATCACGTACAAAAATGATAAAAAGATGTAAATTTCGCTCACTAAGCTTAACAAAAGCTTATATCTTGTCTTAAAGACATACCTATATTTAAATCAAAAACAGGTGCTGGTCATTTACCATCTTTGCTTTATGCATGACGAACGAACTGTTTGGTTCGAATGCAAAGTACGGAGTGGAGACCAGTCAAGCGTCTGGTGATTCGATGGAACGGAGTGGGAGGAATATAGTCAAGCAATTCTTTCTTCTCTTTTCAATTTATATATTTAAATATATCTTGTTAAACACCGAAAGTGTGCTTAGCGACGTTATTTAATTCGACTCGTATGCCGTGACAGCAAACGGCATGACGCTCTCTAATGCCGTCATGCCACCTTTCTCCACCACTCTCGACTCTCTTGTGTGTGCATGAGCGTATACTACTTTGTTCCTTCTCTGTGCAAGTTATGTACTGAGTGTATCTTTCTACTCGAGTTTACCGCTAGTATTTTGTTATTTATATTACCACATATTTCTTTGATTTTCATTAATTATAAATTCTATTATAAACTATGATTCACATCTGCCTAGCCGAGACGGCCTATTTTTTAATTAACTGTGAAACTTATCTTATTATAAATGTGGTGATATTAATTGCTGAGTGGTGGCTGAGTATCCATCACCCAGTTTTGTCGCGGAGTGTCATCAGAGGCGACTATGTGATATGTCAGAAAGATCGAATGACTTTCGGTAGATGAATGGCTTCCAACGGAATTACATGATTTAGTTCCTCCCTTCCATTTCCACTATCGGACATTGGTTTGCTTCGGCTTTCGTAACGCATATAGCAAATGAATGAAATAATTTTCCGGCGTCAGTCTATCTGTCTGAACACAATTTGAGCCCCTTAAATGCACGAGTGAATAGGCTTTTGTTACGCTAAGACAGTGCGATTTACAATCTGGGGTATCATCATATCTTATCACCGAGTGGGATTTATGGATGGTTTACGCCAAATATAAAATGCCCAGACCGAAGACGGGCAGCAGTGTCAAAGGTCGTAAATCCACCTGCGAAGCGTGATGATCACAGCATATCCTCACTACTGTCGGAGAGGTTCACGTCCAACAGCGGATTACTACGATGGAGAAGATTTAAGTACCTAATATGAAATTAAGTCAAATTAATAAGCGTAACACCGAGCATACAGTCCACCTGATGGTAAGTGGATGCTGTTGCCCAAAAACATCTACTTGTACTTGTCTGTGTGGTGCTTCGCTACTGAAGTGTAAGTGTCTTTTGGTCTCTATTGCGGTCTGCTTATAAATAAATTGATCGAATTGAAATTATTCTTGGAAAATTAAACATTTGCGATACCAACTGTCCTTCAAATTTTATATTGTGTATATTGATTGATCTCAACAGAACTTTAATTACGTGGTAGAGCCACGCCGCAGCTGTATCATGAATGTTGTAGCATGAATGGGTTGGCTCGACCGGGGCAGAACCATGCTCTCACAGAAGACGTGTAATAGGTGTGTGTAGAGAACCGAGGACCCTGTTTATTGGAATCGAGGCATTCCATCTTAGTCCTCAGGGATGACAATGCATTTGCATTTTGAATCTTAATTAAGGGTAAATGTGGATGTCTATGGGCTACAGTATTCACTTACCATCAGGTGAACCGTGTGTTTGTTCCAATGATATAAGAAAAGAGCTGTTCAATTCTGGTCCATTTATCCATTATAGCCTATAAAAGTTCAACGTTGAACATAATGCCTTCAAATAAATGGATGGATTCTGCAATAGTTATCACGCTTGGGAACCAAGTTGACAACCGCAGGTTTTTATTATTTTGAGTTGCATTCAGAGATATGCGGTTGTCCATATCCTGGTTTGTTTCCTTCCATCACCTCCTACGGCATCCGTGGGACGATATAGGGTAGTGGATATTCCTACGCGGCTATTATACGGTAAATTATTTTCAATTCTGGTAATTTCAGCATTTTTTCAGTATTTACTATTATTTTTATGCAATATTTTTAGTAAGAGTGAAGTAGAAAATAATTTTAAAGTGTAATTACAAAAAAATAAAAAAATAAAAGAGACTTTTATTTCATTATTGTATAATGTATTTTTTGGACACTTATGTGACGAAGTGATTTACGGACTGATTAATTTTGTATAATTAAATGCGGTAAGGTCAAACCTTAACTTCTTATAATTATTAGTTATTTTGAATGGTGATTTCATTTAAGTATTCATTCCGGAATCAATGTTAAATAATTTAAGCTCTTGCCGAATAAAACGTGAATTCCAATGAGTCTTTGTTTTGTGGTCCATTAATATCTACATTTATCCTCGAATAAAATTCAAAATGCAGATACGTTGTTACGGACTAAGATAGAATTTCTCGTTTCCAGTAAAAAGATCTCCGCTTCTCTACACTCACCATACGAAACATAGCAACATTAAGTTGCTGTCTTACGCTGGTATTCTGTGAGATTACGCGGGCAACCCGGGTTCGATCTCCACCGACACCAATGAAATTAACTGCAATTTTAAGTGCTGATTTATCACGTGCTCGGCGGTGAAGGAAGTCATTGTGAGGAAACCTGCATGTCTTAAAATTTAAAAAAAAAATTGAACCTGCATATGAGAAGTTTGTCAACATGAATTTGGGCAGCGCAGCGGACATTTCCTTGCCCTAAAACCCTTTCAGAAATGAGAGGAGGCCCGTGCCCAGCAGTGGGACGTATATAGGCCGTAACTTTACTTTACTTTACTTATCCTGTGAGAGCGTGATCCTTCTTAACTTATGACTAATTGTGTGGAGTCGAGTAACTGGAATTAATAGCATGTGTGGATTCCTAGTATTTTTCCATTTCAAAATTGTTAGGCTGGCATCATAGGCGGCTGAAGGAAGTCAATGGCACAAATATGAGTCTTGGAGATGATTTTATACCTAATACTTGTGTGCTGTAGAACTTATAGTGGTATCCAAATCCGATAAATGTCCTAAAAGAACTCTACCCGCGACTGGTCATCGCTGCTGGTGATAAAAAGGCTGGTTCTCTTCTCGCTAAGTATAGCCATTTAGCGAGGAAACGCAGCCAGTGTTCTTGGCACTATACCACGGGAAGTAGGACTAAATAATAATTTTAATGTTTAGTTTTTATTTTAACGAATATTTTCAAAATAACCAAGTGTTTAAGGTAAAACTAAACGTGATTAAGCTATAAATATAATAAATAATGCATTAAAAAACCTTTTTATGATTATTTTAGTTATCACAAAATGGCACCCAAAACTGAACAGGAGAGCAAATCTGCATCAGAGAAAATTCTGAGTAACGGGACAGCGAAAGAAGAAGTGGTAATAACGGGTGTCGCCGGATACTTTCCGGATTCAGATTCCGTGAAACAATTTCAAGAAAACCTCTTTAATAAGGTTCGTAAAAATTGCTTTGCGTAGCATTTCGAATTTTGTTAAATATAGTACAGTGACCTTTCCTAGTAGTGGTGGTGTTGGATAATATACTTTCCCATATATCGTCAGAGTAATAGTTAGGGGCGTTCAATAGGTCGAACTTAAACAGAAGATATCAACTATTCTGTTAAGTGTGAAAACTATGGTAACATATAATAACATGGAGCAATCTATGGAAGAGGACAATATTCTGAAGTGGGCTTTTGTTAGATTGTAATAGAATGAAATGGAATATAGTAACAATTTTTTTAAAAGTTAATAATGTCCTGACCAAATTTTGGTCACGGCGGTAAGTCTCAATGGATATTCATCTTTGTGGGACAGGATTATAGTGCCCGAGTGTATGCGCAAGCACACGTGCACTCTCTATAATCACCCTCATCCGACACAACCGGAGAGAGTTCACGCGCAAGACCAACGGCTTTCCATGTGGGTGAAACACCGCTAACTTCCTGACTCCAGGTTGCTACTGAATAGTTCTTGATAGAAAAACCCAATAATTTATTTTGGCACGACCCGAGATTGGAACCGTAGACCAATAAGCCAGTCAAATATTACATAAAAAAAGTTTAAAATTATACTTTGTTGATATAATATGTTAATTGTGTTAAGTAAGTAAGTAAGTACTGCATGAATTTCAATTGTTTTAATTCAAATCAGGTCTTCGCTAACGTAATATTTAAATTAAGGTGCTACTCCTAGCGAACAACCTTGAGCATTCGGTCCGCCTATGCTTCTACACTCCAAGTGCTCTCGCTACCTACATCGCGTAAGAAATACGCCCAAATTTTAAAATAATTTCTTTATAAAATCGAATTTTAGTCCTTTAAAAAAATTAAATAGATCAAAATGTTCACTAATGAATACTTACTTGATGAATCCTCCTACAACTAGTTTACGCTTACCCTTTTTTGACTCACGGCCCCCTTTGGGCCAATATCGTACTCTGGCCGAAAAGAGGTTGTTTTCCATGGAGCGCCGTATGCGGCGCGACCCAGCCTTTCGCGACAAATATGTCGAGTTCATGCGCGAGTATCAGGAGCTGGGTCACATGTCACCGTCCCACTTCGACTGTCGGTCACAGGAGCACTACTTCCTTCCCCACCATGCGGTCTTGAGGACCCCTGGGAGTAAGATTCGGGTAGTTTTTGACGGCTCCGCCCCCTCGTCAAATGGTGTGAACCAGTGTCTCCACTCTGGTCCTAAATTGATCAAGGACAAATCCGACATTTTGACCCACTTCCGTCGGCACCAAGTGGTTTTTGTAGCCGACATTCGGATGATGTTTCGACAATCAGTGGTCCATCGTGATGACCGTCGATATCAGCTGATATTGTGGTGCGAGAAGGCCAGCGATCCGATACAGGTGTTTGAGTTGAACACCACCACCTATGGACTCCGGTCCAGCCCGTATATCGCCATGCGAACCCCCTCGAACTCGCTGAGAGAGAGCGTCTAAGATACGCTCGGGGGGCTTCTATTTTGGAGACTTACTAAACTAGTTGTAGGAGGATTCATCAAGTATTTACTCCCTTTAAAAAAAAATGGAATTGGCTATTATGGAATCAAGATTATGTGATCTTTTATCAGTTTTTTTTTAGTTTATATATCTTTTTATTAACAGGTAAATAACTCCTAAAAACATTAAAAAATAATGACTAGCGCGGCATTTTGCTCAAACACGCACTAAGTTAAAATTATTGATGCTTAAGTCACTTTTAATTTCTTGTGCAGATTTAAAGTTATTTATCACCTCATTTCGTACGAATCCTTTGCATCGATTATGGAAAATTTAATCTCTCAATAAGTAATTCAGTTACGGTAGTCAGTAAAAATTAAAATATAACTTAAAGCTAATGAAGAACAGCGTATTAAATAAGATGTGTATTTTTATAGAATAAGGTGACAAATGAGCACACAGTACACCTGACAGTAAGTGGATGCTGTCTTCCGTAGTCATTTACACCTATCCTTGATTAAGAATAAAAATCCAAATGCGTTGACACCCCCCGACAAATTTTCTTTTCTCAAAATGCTGCCCTCTATTATCTGCCACCTGAATCAAAGCTCCCCCCAGTCCTGTAACGCTTTTGAGCTACCACTGACACCACTGTTGACTATGAATATTTATTTGACGATTTCCGTAATCCATCTATATAAAACATAAAGAAATGTTTCTCTACTGTGTCTGTTATAGACTTTGAAACCATAGAACCGATTTGGGTAAATTTTTTGTATGTGTTTGAATGGGTTCTAAGAAGGTTTATATTCCCGGACCCGGTAGGTGGCGCTGTTGTCGAGAGCCGAAAATCACCCGTTCGAAGCCGGAGCAGTTCAATATATTTGTCTTTTCATTTCAATTCATTTAAATATTTACACCAAGTTCTTGAGCAATATTATAACCAAAATTATCTATACAAAAAAATAAAATTGAATTGTCTGCTTGTAATTTTAAAATAACAGCTTTTACTAAATTCATATGAAAGTAGGTCGAATAGTAAAAAACATTTTTTAAATTTTTGTCTGTCTGTCTGTTTGTTCTGGCTAATTTTCGAAATGGTTAGACAGATTTTAAGTGAATTTTACTGGCTGTGGCAGATAGCTAATATTATAAAGAGTAAATTAGGATGTCAGAAAGAGTTCCGTGCGAAAAAATTAAAACCCATAAAAACGAGTAGTAGCTAATTCCACGCGGACGAAGTAGCGGGGTACAGCTAGTGATGTCTAAATAATAGATAATCCATTAAGATTATATATATACCTACACATCGATCGTGTAACAACTGAAAGATTTTACCGATTGTGATCGTATTCACAAAATGACTGCCATGTCAATCTAGTGTTGTAAACGCGGTTGCTGATTATGAGGTCCCGGATTCGAACCCCGGATCGGGCCACAATCAGTTGTTGGATTGGTTTCTGTCAAGAAATTCTCAGTAAGAGCTAGGAGTCAGGTAAATGGCCGTATTTCATCCCCGTAAGGTTTAACGTGCCTCGGAAGGCACGTTAAACCTTAGGTCTTGCTGTATCCGTTGCGTCTGATTTCTCTCCGATCCTGTCAGATAACCGCTCCATCGGACTTTGAGAATGAGGCTATATGGCTAGTCTCCATTGAGTTTGGCCACCGTAACTGGAAATCGGTCTGGAGGACATTATTATTCACACGATTTATTTTTTATCTAGATGATGGTTCACAGCAAATTCTGTTTATGAACCAAAATGGTGTGCCACGTTGCAGCTGTGTAATGGTTGTACCACGAATGGGTCGGATTGACGGAGAAAAAAACCACGTTCGCACAGAATACCAGCGCAAAATAGCAGCTTGGTGCTGCAGTATTTCGAATGGTGAAACAAGTCGATTCAACAACACAACAAACAAGACATTTCGACTGGAAACAAGGTGTTCCATCTCTGTCATGACTATTGCATTTTTATTTTTAATTGAGGATAGATGTAGATGTCTTTGGGCCACAGCATCCGCTTATTATAATGTTGATTGTGTGCCTCGTTTAGTGTAAAAAATCTCCGTCGCTCTACATTCACCATACGTAAGCATTAAGCTGCTACTTTACGCTGGTATTTTGTGAGAGCGTGGCCCTTGCCCGGTCGAGCTGACTCATTAGTGCAGCCACCATAATGTAGCGGCAACATAGGTATACCATGTTTAAGACTATACTATCTAGCAGGCTAGCTAGTTACCGTTACAGCCAATGAAAGTCCACTGCTAAACATAAGCCTCCCGCGTAGATTGCCTCAGAGGGGATTTTTGCCATGTTTGCCACACTTGGGTTGAGAACCGCAGTTTTTTATTTTTAGTCGTTATTAAGAAGACGCTGCTGCCCATCTCCTGATTTGTTTTCCTATGCCGCTTCTTACGACACCCACGAGATGAGTAATATGGAGTAGTGGATATTCTTACACCGCCACTACACGGAATTTATAATTTATTACGGTTTTTTTAGTGTAATTATGGAACTGAGACGTGGTCCTTCACTGCTGGCCGTATGAGGACGCTCAAAGTCGCTCAGCGAGCTATGGAGAGGGCTATGCTCGGAGTTTCTTTGCGTGACAAACTTAAAAATGAGGATATCCGCAGTAGAACCAGAGTGACCGACATAGCCCAACGGATTAGTAAGCTGAAATGGCAATGGGCCGGCCATATAGCTCGAAGAACCGACAACCGTTGGGGAAAAAAGGTTCTCGAGTGGCAGCCTCGTACCGGTAGACGAAGTGTAGTACGACCCCATATTAGATGGAGTGACGACCTGGTAAGACATTCAGGAAGTCGATGGATGCAGGTGGCTCAGGACCGTGCTTTGTGGCATACCTTGGGGGAGGCCTATGTTCAGCAATGGACTTTAATAGGTTGTAACGGTAAATTCGCATTATCATATCTGTCATCGATATGATATGATAAATAATAATATGATCCATATCGCGCCATTTTCCGGAAAACGAATAACAACATACACCAGGCTAGCTAGCATTATTATATAATACTTATTGTTACAGGTGGATTTAATAACAAAAGATGAACGCCGCTGGAAACTTTTCCATACGCGCTTAACGCGAACTGGCAAAATTAATTTTATTGACAAATTCGATGCTTCCTACTTCGGAATAGATTATAAGGAAGCACATTGTATGGATCCCATGGCTAGGTTGCTTTTAGAGAAATGTTACGAGGCTTTAATCGATGCTGGTAAGTGAGATGTGTAAAGTATAATAACTAAAACTTGAAATTTTAAAAATCTCCGAAATAAAAAAGCTGACGATCTTCAAACTGTTGAACCGATTTCGATAAAACA